ACCTGAGAAATGGGTTTTCTCAAGGGAGGCCGTCAGTGAGGGTGGGGCAGTCGGCTGCTTCTTAGAGAAGTCCAACGGGAGCAGAGCAGCCCACGCTCCCAGCAGCCTCTGCTACAGAGTCAGGCTTCCTGTACACTGCTGCCGTTGCTTGTCCTGTGGGGTCTGATGGGTCATTCTGGCAGGTTGGTCCTTCCTCTTACCTCTCCACTTCTCAGGGGGACAAACGGAGGCTCAGAGAGGTGAAGGGGCCCTCCCAGGCTCGCAGTGGGTAGGTGGCAGAGTCCCTCCATGCTGTGGGGGATGGGCACTCACCTTTTGAACAGAAGAGCCAATACTACTTGTGTTGTTCTAGTCCTCTGGTGTACTTAAACTTTTGTTTTTCATAATTAGCACCATTTTCCTGCTCAGGGGGCAGAAGGTCGTGAGGGTCTTGATCATCACCCAAAGTTGTGCTTGCTCCCTGGAGGGCACAGGGGAGGGACCCACTGTGAGAGGCAGGCACGTGACCCAGCAGGCACACGGAGCGCCTGAGCTCAGACCAGGAAAGCCCTGGCTTATGTGTCTGCTGGCAAGAGGTGGCACCAGAGCGCCTGCAGCAGAAAATGGGGCTCAGATCTCGCAGCAGACATGGAGGTGGGGGGTCACGTGTGATGAAAGATATCAGACACCTGAAGCCAGCCACGGTGTAAACTACGTCGTGACGGCGTCTCCCTGTGCACCCAGTGGGTCTTCCCCCCACCCTCATTCTACAGGCGGGAAAACAGAGGCTCCCTGGTGTCAAACGTCTTAGCCAAGTTAGATGGTCAGATCCCAGAAGCGTCTGTTTCCTGGACTCCACATTGTGTCCTCTGTGCTTCCTGAGGCCTGGCCTGATCCTGGCTCAGAGGGGAAGGGGTGCACATTCCCTCCCTCCCTCCCCCGCTGGAGAGAGTGTGCAGAGCAGAGCACCCCAGGGCACCCCCGAAGGAGATTTGGAGACCTGGCACTCTGCTGGTTTCAGATCCAGCCATGAGGGAGAGCTGGAGAACCTGAGGTGGACAAAGATCCACCCCAATGCCTCCCCCCACCCCCTGCCGCCCAGGACCAGGCATCTGACTCAGGGAGAGTGATTCCAAACGACAAGGAAAGGGCTGAGAGGGGGCTCAGCTTCTCAGGGACAACGCCCCTGAAAGCCAACCTGTGGTTCTGCTGGCCAGCCTGACAGCAGACTGGCAAAACGGAAAAGGGACCCCGGCCACCGCCGGGGACAGGCTGGATGAGGGGACACGCTGGTGCCACGGGGCTGCTGGGGCCGTTCGGGGAAGGGGTCTGGCTCTAGGGGTCCTGTCTGCCCGCGTGCTCATCCTCTGTCCCCAGCAGCCCACTCCCGGGAGTCTGTGGTGGGTGGGTCAGGAAATGAGAACACACATCAGTGCTCCCCAGGCCGGCTGAAAGGGCAGCAGCCAGCATGCTCAGTCCACGTGGGAACCAGCCTCCCTTCTGGAACTTTCTGTGGCTGAGTCAGGACATACCTTGTGACCTGAAGGGGTGACGGGTTCCACGAGATGGCAAGTTGCACCAAAAAGTTTGCCACGGACTTGAACCTCATTCTTTGAGGCTGAAGCAGAGTGAGGAGGTGCGGGTGGGGGAGGCTGGGAGAAGGCGTGGAAGGACCGGCCAGACGAGTGCTGCCCGGTCCCCTGAGAGTCCAGAGCGAAACAGGGAACCGGAAGCCACTTGTAACCAGAAGCCGCTTGTCACCAGACGCTGGGCGGATGTGAAGGGAAAGCGGTCTCCAGTTGCCTTCCTGAAGCCCTCCCCCACCGCGAGCAAGTTCCTCCTGAGGATGACCGTGACACCATTCCCGGGGAATCTGTCCCTCCCTACGACTGTGCTCAGAGGATGCCGGCGCCTGTCTGCTCGCTGATGCCCGGTGTGGGTCTGTGTGCAGTTCATTCCGTGCCCTTGTGGACGACTTCCAACTCCCCCGGAACCGTCCCCGGTGGGTCCACGTTCTGATTGTGCATGGATGGTGGCAGCCGTTTCTTCTCTTGATCACACCCCACCAGCAGCTGACGGCCCTGAAAGCTTGACTCCCTCCATGTCCCGAATAATGAGCCCACTTTGAGGAGGCAGCTGGATGCTGGGGGTCTTGGGAGGACCTCCCAACCCGAGGGGCTCATCTTCCAGCACCGGGCCACACAAGGTTCCTCTACTCTGCCTAAGGGTCTCAGTCACAAGCCACTCGGTGACGGTGAGTTTGCCTTTTGGTCTCAGCCCCCCTCAGACGGAGAGTGCCTGTCTCCCCTCCTCCAGTCCGGAAGCTCTGTGGACACACCTTCTCCATCCCAGCCACCTCCCCTTGCTGCAGGTGCGCTTTTGACACGACAGAAGAGGCTTCAAGTGTTTCCTCGCACGGAAGCAAGACGAATCCGAATCCGAGCAGCAGTGCCCCTGTGCCGAAGGAGCTACAAATTCTAGCTACGAAAGATAAACTTGAGAACAGATCTCATTCTTAACACAGGGTCTGCGTATTCACCAGGTTGTTCCCGCATAGCCGCTCTCTCATTCCAGAACATTCCTCTCACCTTTCAAAGGAACCCGGCCCCCAGCCCCCATAAGCAGCCACTCTTTGTAACCTTCAACACGTGTTCCTCCAGCTCTGCCCGCTACAATCTCCCACTGGTCTCGGGATCGCCTGGCCTGGGGACATTTCATGGGAACAGAAGCAGACAGGTGTGGTACTTTGTGTCTGGCTTCTCTCACCTCGCCTCATGTTTCAAGGTCTGTCTTTGCCAGGATTTCATTCCGTCTTATAGCTGATCACCCCAAGTTGCATGGGTATCCACGATGCGTCCACCCATCTGTAATTCAGCATCAGTAATTGTCTAACTTTGGGAGCATTAAGAATCAGGACCAGTACAAAACTGATGCTTATGAGACAGGTCACTCACCTTGCCCCGTCTCCCTTATTTCTGACCCCAGACCCTCTCTACTGCTCTGCGGAGCTCGCTGCCTCGTTGCAATGTCCACTCAGAACTCACGGACCACGCTCACAGTGACGTGGCTTTACTAGGGAAGGAACAGGCTACATCTCAGGGTCAAAATCC